CCTTCTTCCCCTTCGTCCCTCTTATTCGAAGACTGAGAAAGCAGGATTTCAGGGCGCTTAGGCATTGGAGTTTGACCATCGGTTTGCTGTTGTTCTTCTTGTTCTTCTTCACCATCGATGAGCATTGCCACGACACTATCAGAAGGCTCAGAAGTAGACATTGTGAGCCCCGTCTCTCTCTAAGCTCTGGCTTTTGGGAAGTAAAGTCGTCAGTCATGCAAAGGAGAAAGAAGAAACAGCGTTTTGTTTTGTTTTGCTTTGTTTTGTTTTTTTAATCGTTTACTTGCTATTGAGAAACTGGTGCCGCCAAAATCTTCTTGGGCCACCCAAACCCAAAGCATAAAATTCTGGCCCAGTCAGTTTTCTTCTGAAGTTCAATCCTACCTGGCTTCATTTTCAAAGCCCAAATACGAGCCCAAATATATGTTTCTTCTCGAGTCTCCGAAGATCGTCATTGGACACCTACCAAATTTTTTAACAAAGATACTTGACTCATTCCAAGGAAGGTCCAAAATCTTTCAAGCAATATTGCAACTGAGATACCGTAATAAGGGTTTATAGCGGGATATTCTTAATATATCTTGTTCGCAAAAGCTTTTATGATCCGTAAATGTGGGATACTCTCAACATATCCATACTATCTTATTTTGTATGGAATGAAATAAACATGTCCAATTATATACCTATACACAAGCCTAAGTAAAGATATGTATAAAACACATCATATATGTATGGTTTATTTGATAAGTTGGTTGCACATATATATTTTAATGAGAAAGTCGGGGTGGTGGCCAACGGGTCCATAGCTCAATGGGAGCATTTGCTTACAGATTAGTTCTCCCCCTTCCCCTTTCAAACTTTGACAGCAAAAAAAAAAGTTAGGGTGGTGTGGTGTGGGATGAGAAAATGTTGGGGTGTAGACCAATAAAATTGGAATAACATTAGGGAGGGAATTGAAATATTGATAGGTATAGAGTAGAGAAACACCCCAAAATCACAATTAGCTCAAAGCTTGGCATTGGCAAATACAGGCAAGTTGGATCTTTGAGGGAGCTTTAATTCTTCATCACCATCCAACCTAGAGAAGCATTGGTCAACCATATGATACGTGATGTACTCCAAACTAGAAGGCTTCCACTTTGGTTTCTTATCCTTGTCCCACAAGATAGCTCTACAACCTTCTCTGAAGTCCTTGTTGATTTGCCCTCACAAAACATGACAAGTTATTCTGTACTCTCGCGGACAAGGATTCATCAATTGCCTGCACCCTTACTTCTCTAATGGATCTCAAACAAATCATCAAGCTCATCGGCGAAGCCGTGTTCAGTGAACGAATCGTCGAAGCTAACCATCTGCTCTGTTTGTATCTGTTGTAGTAGCCTCCTTCTCAAGGGCACTTAAGATTTCTTCAACTGTTGGTCTAGAAAAGCACTTGTCAATGACATCCATTTTGTGAAAAGCACTTTTCTCATTCAGAGCCGGTTGCTGCAGTGAATATTTGAAAGAAGTTGAGGTTCCACCCCAAAACCAATTGGCAATGGAGGGAGTAGCCCAACTCCTTATAAACTCAAGCTAGGTCCCTTAACATTTCAATGTGGGACAAACACTCTCAACACGCCCCTGCACGTGTGGCGAAATTTCAAGCCTAACACGTGGACAACACATATTGGGTGACATGGGAGCACGTGTGGCAGTTGGGCCCAACACGTGAAGCCTTGCTCTGACACCATGAAGGAAGTTGAGGTTCCACCCCAAAACCAATTGCCAATGGAGAGAGTAGCCCAACTCCTTATAAACCAATCGTCTATATTTGCTGAGATAAAAGCAAGATCAGAGCTAGATGAAGTAGCTGAAGCTGCTCTGGAAATCAGAAAGCATTTCAGCACCATCCAACCTTGGACCCAATGGCGGAACCATGAATTTTTTAACAAGTGGGCTAACTAAAAATTTTGGCGAAAACAAAAGTATACAGTAAATCATATAAATCATGCAATTCATACATTGACTAATTTCTAATAAAAATTAACATAAAACAAATATATATTAGATGCAATTAAAAAAAACATATTATTAAAATGAATATATGTTTAACAACATAATTAAAAGTGTACCTATTGAAGTTGTGCCTTGAGATCCTTGAGAGAATTGAAATATTTTGTTATTGTCATCTGAATCCATCTTGTTGCTAATCAACCTATCTATCAAATGATATCTTTGTGACTTTTTCGTTTCATCTTATTCGTAAAATGATGAATTTCATTGAGACAAATCTTTCTCTTATGGAGACAAATCAATGAAAATATTAAAATGGGTAAACTGCTGAAAACCCTCCTGGACTATTTCGACTATCGAAATGTCCACCCTGTAATATTTTTTCAACCAATTTAGCCTTCGTATTAAATTTAATCGCCAATTTCACACATGCCGTTAGGTTTTCCCCAATTCCATGCAAATGCCGGTCAAAAAAACCACGTTAGAGTTACGTGAGTCGTCTGCTGAGGGTAATATCGTCCGTTCACACCTCAGCCCTCAGCCCCCTTTGACTGCTTCCTTCGTATGGTCAATTCCCAAATCAGACTTAGGGTTCTTTCACTTTTTCGAAAAAAGGTTGAGAGTGAAAGAGAGAAAGTGACTTATTCGAAATAGGGTGAGAGAGAAAGACAGAGTACTGCAACTGAGAGATTCGAATTGGGAGAAAGAGTCAAGATTCCAAACGAGGTTGGATAAGGGTGATTTGGTAAACAAACACAATGAAAATCAGAGATGGTGGGGAAGCTCCCAAATACAGTAAGCAGCTTACTTTATTTTATTTGTTTGATCCAATTGTTTGGGTTTTATTCTTGGTTGTTGTTGGATTTCATTGTTGGACTTCATGAAAAAGCATAATAAAAGGAAGAAAGTGGTCCCTATGGATGTTGTTTGTTGACTGAGACTTAGGTTGGGTTGTGAATGTGGTCCATATGCATGTTGTTTGTTTATTGTTTGTCGGGTTCTTTGTCTGAGTTTTGTCTGAGTTTGCATTGTATGGTATTGTATATGGTAAATAGTAAATATATAGTGTACTGTATAGGGTAGATAGTAAATGTATATTGTACTGTATAGGGTACATAGTAAATTAGTGAGAAAATTAATTGTTGTGCAGCTAATCCTGACATGTTCACACTTGAAGTACACCACGGTGGCTACTTTGCTGATGGTTTATATATGAGAGGTATTGTACAATGGGTTGATGGGCAAGATGCAGATGAGGTTTCAATGCTTGAGTTATTTGAAATGGTTAAACACCTTGGGTATGATGAGTAGAACATTCAATACTATTACAAGCACAGGACATGGCTAGGTAGAAATTAGGACATATAAGGATTTTTTTAGAGCATTGAAGTTGATGAAACCGAGCCAGCTATTTGTGTTATACATAACTGAAAAATCCAGCACCTAGGCCTCTAAATGTTGAGTCTCCAGTATTCTCTGCAAATGCTAAACATCATGAAGACACTGCTCTTGGGTATGATGCTAATGAAGAAAATGTGCAATATGAGTTCGTGAATGTTGAGATAGAGGAAGAATTTGGTGAGGCAGAGGAAATTGAGGTAGAAAGTGATGAAGTTGAAGGTGGGGAGGATGATGAAGAAGATGGTGATTTCATAGATAGTGAGTTTGAGCAAAGTGATGAAGAGGACAACATGAATTTTCATAGGTATGTTGTAAGTGAAGAGCAAGATGATGGAAATAAAGAACTAGGTGAGGGTGACACTGATGGTTATAATACATCAGACTTAGAGAGTTTGCATGAAGATAGTGAAGGTGAAGATGTCAAGAAAAGAGGTTTGAGGCAGCCAAAATTCAAGCAGTATAATAAACAGCATGACCTTTTAGATCCAAAATTCCACTTGGGTTTGGAGTTTCCTAATATGTAGGAATGTAGAGAGGCCATAAATTACTATGCATGCAAGTGTGCTAGAAGACTAAGGTATGTGAAGAATGAGCCTAATAGAGTGAGGCTGGTATGTGATGGTAATAATGAGGGTGATAAGACAAAGAGGCATACTAAGGGTGAAAAGGCAAAGAGGCATGGTAAGGGTGATAAGGCAAAGAGGCAGAGTGATAAGAGTAAGAGGAATGGTAAGGGTGAAGAGGGTGAAAATGAATCTGCAGATAAACTTGAAGATTATCCTTGGTTATTGTATGCTGCACATGTTGGGAATAGTCCAGGGGGATTTTCGGCAGTTTACCCTATTAAAATTGGAGAGTTAGGGACAAGAATTTTACCTATGAGACTTTTGTAACAAAGAATACAAAAGGCAACATGTATTTTTTTGGGACAGCTGCTAGGGCCAAGTTTCACATTTATATTTTTTATTTTGACATATTTTATTATAATCGAGGATACTTCATTATGTGGGACCAAATTAGGATATTAGGATTTTTTTTTTTTCTTTATGTGGGACTTCAAACTTACAATATTCTTTACGTGAGAAACTGTCAAGAAGCCACAAGATAATAGCCTCAGTTAATGGGAAACTACTTGGGCTATAGCCCAATGTAGCCCACTAGGAAGTTCCGTCCATGCTTGCACCTGTAAAACCCAAATACTCTCTGAAAAATCCAGGAAGTCTTGACAAGAAATAAGAGGCACCCACATCAGGAAACAATCCCAGAGCATTTTCTGGCATTGCAAAGATCGAATTCTCTGTTGCTACACCGAATTTTCCGTGTACTGAAATACCAACCCCACCTCCCATGGCAATCTCATTCAGAATTGAAACCTGTTTTAAAAATATATATAAATAACAAAAGATGGTATTGAAAGTGTTAGAAATTTAGGAGGTGTATTTTTTATATTAAACAAGATATGTATAAAACACATTACATATGTATTTAATTGACAAGTTGGATATATAGTCCAGTGAGAAAGTTGGGGTTGTGGCCAACGGGTCCATAGCTCAATGGTAAGAACATTTGCTTGCATATTACTGGTCTTATATTTGAACCCAATGACATATTCTCCTTTTAAACTTTGACACACACACACAAAAAAAGAAAAGTTGGCGTGGTGTGGTGTGGAGTGAGAAAATGCTGGGGTGTGGGGTGTAGACGAATAAAATTGGAATAATATTAGGGTGGGAATTGAAATATTTGATAGGTATAGGTAGGAACACCCCAAAATCACAATTAGCTCAAAGCTTGGCATTGGCAAATACATTCAAGTTGCATCTTTGAGGGAGCTTTAATTCTTCATCACCATCCAACCTTGAGAAGTAGTGGTCAACCATATGCTCAGTGATGAGCTCCAAACTAGAAGGCTTCCACTTTGGTTTCTTGTCCTTGTCCCACAATATAGCTCTGCAACCTTCTCTGAAGTCCTTGCTGATTTGCCCTCTCATAACATGACAACTTATTCTGTACTCGCGGGCAAGACATTCATCCATTGCCTGCACCCTTCCTTCTCTAATGGATCTCAAACAAATCTTCAAGCTCATCGGCGACGCCTTCTTCAGCGATCGAATCGTTGAAGCTAGCCATTCATCACCTGCCCTGTTTGCATCTGTTGTAGTAACCTCCTTCACAAGGGCACTTAAGATATCTTCAACTGCCTGCCTTGTTTGCATCTGTTGTAGTAACCTCCTTCTCAAGGGCACTTAAGATATCTTCAACTGTTGGTCTGGAAAAGCACTTGTCAATGACATCCATTTTGTGTAAAGCACTTTTCTCGTTCAGAGCCGGTTGCTGCAAGGAGTGTTCGTCTATAATTGCTGAAATAAAAGCAAGATCAAAGCTTGATGAAGTAGCTGAAGCTGTTCTGGAAATTAGAGATTTTTCCAAAAGGGACAATTTGGCTGAGGGGACAAGGTGAGTTGCCAGACCACAAGCAAGCATTTCAGCACCATCCAACCTTGCACCTGTGAGACCCAAATACTCTCCAAAAAATCCGGGAAGTCTTGACAAGAAATAAGAGGAGCCCACGTCAGGAAACAATCCCAGAGAATTTTCTGGCATTGCAAAGATCGAATTCTCTGTTGCTACACGGAATTTGCCATGTGCTGAAATACCAACCCCACCTCCCATGACAATCCCATTCAGAATTGAAACCTGTTTAAAAAAATATAAATAAGAAAAGATGGTAGTGAAAGAAGTTATACAAAAATTTCGAGTCCAACAAAAGAAAGTACGATAAAACTAATTGTACCATCTCGACTAGGCAGATGTGACATGCGCCATACAGTATACTAATTCACCAGTTGAGATGATACAACTAACAGCAAAAGTATCTGAAAAATATATTAAACCTAGATTTTGAAGACATTATGGAAATTAATTTCAGACTTGCCTGGGGTTTGCTGCATGTTGCTACCAAGTAGGTTAAGGTGAGCAGCTTCTCACCAATTTTTTCACCAAATTTCAGATTTCCTTCAAGAAAACGACGATGAACGGTGGCTACATCACCGCCAGCACAAAATGCTCTTCCTTTACCCTTGAGAATGATCAACTTGGCATTGGCATCGTCCTCAAAGGCCAAGAAAAGTTGTGACAGCCGAGAGAGCATTTCAAGGGAAAGGGCGTTCAGCTGGCGAGGCCTGTTTAGGGTCAATATCCTCACAAACAAAGTCTCTTGTATCAGAACCTGGTCATCAAGTTGGAAAGAAGCCATGGAATGATTAATTGATGTAAAGAAATTAAATCGATAAGTGCAACGAAAGTTTGAAACCTAGGTGCAACTTTTTATAGAGAGGTGGAGGAATTGGAAGGCAAGCTTTTATTTAAGTAGAAGTTAGGCTAGTTTTTTATTTTTATTTTTATAGCTTCTACATATTGCATGCCTCGAAAATAAACATACAATATATTATCGGGTTCCTCGAAAATAAATAAACCTATTTATACCATTTCAACTTACAATAGAAATAACGGAAAAATATTTTACCGTTTCATTTTGGCAGATTCTTTTAAAACATTGACAATTAAAATGATACAAATATTATGATAGAATTTGAAAATTCGGCACAAAATTAATTGACAGTACAGATATTGTTGAAGGATTGAAAATGTAAACTTGTACAACTTACCTTTGTGGACAGAATTTAAGAATTCGGCCCAAAATTAATTGACAGTACATGTGGTGTGGGTGGGGGGAGGAACTACTACTAGGTTGGGCCAGCATCAATGAATAAATTGACCCTTGGCAGAAAAAAATGTTCACACTTGCCTTTGTGTTCCGTTCGTAAATAAGCAGCAGAGGCAGAGAAGAGCAGACGTGAAAAAAAAAGAAAGAAATAGCAGAACGTGGTTAAATTGTGCTTAAATTTGAAGCACAATTTAAAAGGGGTTTGGTCATCAGAGGAAAGAACTATTTGTTCTCTTTTTTCTTACAAAAAGAAAAGGCTTACAATGGACCAGGGGATGTAAGCTTGTATAGGACATTACAGTAATTGAATCAATCTTGAACTCATGTTTGCAGATATAGAGATTAATACTGTCCAGTAAACTCATACATATGTGAATAAAGAATTCTTATGAGTTTAGGAATCCTAATCCTATTAATATATGACATAAGTGTACAGATGCTAGGTGTACAAGTTATATTCTAATTGGGTTTCTAATTAGAGAATCCAATCAGATTTTCACCAGCTAACAGTATTAATACAGAGGTCCCTGCCTTCGCAAGAACATGCACCAAAATAGTACTCGAGCCCCATTGAGAGTTGGTGATCTAGAGCTTGCAGAAGGTAGAAGATTTTTGTGTACCAGAGTTAGTTTTTTTCCGCAGGTTAGTGCTTAATGAGTTAGAGCTTCAGTCGTTATTTCGATCAACAGAGGAGACTAATGAAGAGCTGAACTTTGTTTTTTTTGGCTCAAAGATGAAGAGCTGAACTTAAGATTGAGATGTTCTACATACACATCAAAATGTAATTTATTTGTTTTTTTCATACGAAAGGAAAAGGTTTACAATTGACTAGGGGAGACTAATGAAGAGTTGAACTTAATCTACACACACGTTAAACTGTAATTTGTTTATTTTTTTTCTACGAAAGGAAAAGATTTACAATGGACCACTAATGAAGAGCCGAACTTGGGATTTGACTCATCCTTCACATATAGGCAGGGACGGTCCCAAGAAGGGACTAACCTAGACCATAGCCTAGGTGAGTTGTTATTTTATTATTCAAAAATTTAATTTAGCCCACCTAGGCCTACTAATGACAATCATGTCATCGCTCATTCAACAATACACTTAAGGAAAAGAAGATAAGACAAACTAATGAATTGATGAATTCTTTTTAACTATTCCTGGACATTCTTGTGTAGGATATCTCTGTAAATTTTTCTATGAAATGAAAAATATTTCCGTCTTGTTCTCATTTTTTTAGCTTACTGCCAACTTCTTTTTATTTTTATTTTTATTTATTTTATTTTTTTATGAATAACCTACTCCTAATTTTCCTTCAAGTGATAGGCCTCTTCACACATAATCCATTTTAAGTGAAAAAATAAATATAAAAAAAGAACGAATTGTTACGCTGCAGTAGTTGGACCTTTATGTTCCACTCTCCAATGTGTACATAAGGTAAATTTAGCCCATCCGATTTTAAAATCCTGGGTCCATCCCTGCATATAAAGTCATATATTATATTATTTAGGTTCTTCTTTTCGGCCTTGGTCCCCACGAATTTGTACTTGTGTGTCTATAGTATTTTTATACCATTCAAACTTCATTATTTTAGCCTTCAAATCTGATTGCGTCTTGGGCAGTAGTTTTTTTTCTTTCTTTCTAATTGTTTCGTGGTGATCAGTTCAAACTGCGAATCTTTTTAAGATTCTGCTCTTGTTCCTAGCTTTCACGTTAGCTTTCGGACGTTGTCATCCTCTTCCATGTATACTCTTATGATGTTTAATACAACATCTTTATCAACAACCAAAAAAATATCTAATTGTGTCTTTTTATATATTTCAAAATTTTCACTTAATATCAAAAACTACCTCTCATGACTTATTTCAAATTGCTTGGAGAAACTTGAAGGATATATTCCAAATCGCATTTAATTTAAGGAACTAATTTTCTCACTCCCCTTTTGTTCACTTATATTCTCTTTTGTTTTTTTAAAATTTTTTTAATCAATTTTGTTCTTTTTCTTTCCAATTCTACCTTTACCCTGCATTAATTTCTTTCTTCTTCCTCCCCGTGGGAGTCTGCAACTTCCAAAAACAAAGTTTGGTTGAAAAAATTTCGAAATATCATAACTTTCTCTCTAGTTGTCAGATTCATGAACCGTTGCCCAACAATCTAAGGTAAATTTTAAGGGTTGTTTTGAAGATTCTGGAATTTCTCCTGTTTTGGGGTTTTTGAGAAATTACTGTGCAATTCAATGCTTTGTTATGGTATTTGAGTTATTTACTGGCATTCGAAGCTTACTTGAGGATAGGAATCATTTTAGAGCAATTGAAACACAAGTTGAAAATAACCAAGGTGGTTGGTGTGAGTGGTTCGGCACTCTCATTCCTTAAGAGAGGTCAGGGGTTCGATCCCTGCTCTCGTACGGAGTCACCACTTTGGCCAACACTTTACCCCTTACGGGCCGACCCGGTGTGAGTGGGGATTAGTCTGGGTTGTGGTTAAGGCTTAAAGGTGCCATCCATAGTTGGGGCCCATCCAGGACCATCTCATGGTTCAGACCAAAAAAAAAAAACACAAGTTGAAAATGGTTTAGTTTGTTGGAATATTGCACATAAATTGTTTTTTTATATTGCTGAGACTTTTTTTTTTTGGGGTTAACCTTTTTTAATTTCAGTTATCAAAATCTTAATTTAGGATAAGGGTAGAATAGGAAAGAAAAATAAAAAAATTGATTTAAAAGTATTAAAAAAAAAAAAGGAAGTATAAGTGGACAAAAGGGGAGTGTGAAAATCAACTCCCTTAATTTATATCAACCATGATTATCAAAAGTATTAAAAAAAAAAAAGGAAGTATAAGTGGACAAAAGGAGAGTGTGAAAATCAACTCCCTTAATTTATATCAACCATGATTATCCTTCTCTCCTTTGCAATCTTAAAAGATAAGGAGGAGTGTCATTTTTCTTTTGGGTGGTGGAGGACATGAAGAGCGAGTTTGGAGATTCAATTTGTTTTGCAGCATCTTCCTACTATTATATTATATTGGGTTAACTACATAAAATTACTCAATCTTTATTAGGGGTCGTTTCAAATTAATACTCAACCTTAACAATCTTGCACGTAGAAACCCAACTTCAGGAAAAACATACAAATTAAAAGCCACACAATCCCTTCTCCCAATGTAATCAAAAATCTGTTTCTATAGAACACAACTTTACTGAATTAAAAATAAATAAACAAACAAACAAACTGTCCAAAATGATCAAACAATTGGGACAGTGCATTATTATAAGAACAACATCCAAAAGGACTTCAACAAACATGAAAACAAAAACCAACAAATTTTCTGCGAAAACCCCAAGATGCTATCTCTATCCTAACTTGATGATCTCCTTGGGACGACCATAACTCCATACAAATAGGGAAAAAGAACCCCTCTGAAATTGCTCACACTGAAAACCCTCTTCCTTGTACCCTCTTCCCCTTCGTCCCTCTTATTCGAAGACTGAGAAGGCAAGATTTCTAGGCGCTCAGGCATTGGAGTTAGACCATCGGTTTTCTGTTGTTCTTCTTCACAATCGATGAGCATTGCCATGACACATTGACATTATCAGAAGGCTCAAAAGTAGGCATTGTGAGCTCGTCTCTAAGCTCCGGAGGTTGGGAAGTAAAGTCGTCAGAGCATCTCCAAGGGAGATGTCAAATACCAAACATCAAATTTAAATTTGATGGCTGATGTGGCAATTTGACATCTTACACAGCTTTACACTCCACCCGATATGTCAAATTAAATTATTTTATTACATTTTAGTGTTGATTTATTTTTAATTAAAAAGAATAGAAAAGAAAAAATAATAAAATATTAATTTGACATCTTGCTTTTGGGATGTCAAAAATAACATCTCAATCTTCAGCTTTCATTCCACATCAACTTTGACACATCGATTAGAGTGTGTGAGATGTTATTTCTAGCTGTTAAATGTTTATGTGGCACTTTTGACATATCGATTGGAGATGCTCTCAGTCATGCATAGGAAAAAGAAGAAACATCGTTTTGTTTTGTTTTTATTTTAATCGTTTACTTGGGAAACTGGTGCGATCAAAATCTGCTTGGGTCACCCAAACCCAAAGCCTAAAATTTTGGACCAGTCAATTTTCTTCTGAAGTTCAACCCTACCTAGCTTTTCATTTTCAGAGCCTATATTTCGTTGGGCCAAAACAATACAAGCTCCAATATGCGTTTCTTCTCGAGTCTCCGAAACAATACAAGCTCCAATTTCGTTGGGCCAAAACAATACAAGCTCCAATTGTATATGTACCTATATATAAGCCGAACTAACAAACAAGATATGTATTTTGGCAACCAGAAAAGAAAAACAAGATATGTATATATGTATGGTTTATTTGACAAGTTGGTTGTACATATTCCAATGAGAAAGTTGGGGTGGGGTGGGGTGGGGTGAGAAAATGGTGGGGTGTGTACACTAATGAAATATTTGAATAACATTAGGGAGGGAATTGAAATATTGATAGCTATAGGGTAGAGAAACACCCCAAAATCACAATTAGCTCAAAGCTTGGCATTGGCAAATACAGGCAAGTTGGATCTTTGAGGGAGCTTTAATTCTTCATCACCATCCAACCTTGAGAAGTAGTGGTCAACCATATGGTCAGTGATGAGATCCAAACTAGAAGGCTTCCACTTTGGTTTCTTATCCTTGTCCCACACGATAGCTCTGCAACCTTCTCTGAAGTCCTTGCTGATTTGCCCTCTCATAGCATGACAACATATGCTGTACTGGCGGACAAGACATTCATCCATTGCCTGCACCCTGCCTTCTCTAATGGATCTCAAACAAATCTTCAAGCTCATCGGTGACGCCTTCTTCAGCGATCGAATCGTTGAAGCTAGCCATTCATCACCTGCCTTGTTTGCATCTGTTGTAGTAACCTCCTTCTCAAGGGCACTTAAGATATCTTCAACTGTTGGTCTGGAAAAGCACTTGTCAATGACATCCATTTTGTGTAAAGCACTTTTCTCGTTCAGAGCCGGTTGCTGCAAGGAGTATTCGTCTATAATTGCTGAAATAAAAGCAAGATCACAGCTTGATGTAGCTGAAGCTGCTCTGGAAATTAGTGCTTTTTCCAACAGAGACAATTTGGCTGAGGGAACAAAGTGAGTTGCCAGACCACAAGCCAGCATTTCAGCACCATCCAACCTTGTACCTGTAAGACCCAAAAACTCTCCAAAAAATCCATGAAGTCTTGACAAGAAATGACCCGCATCAGGAAACAATCCCAGAGCATTTTCTGGCATTGCAAAGATGGAATTCTCTGTTGCTACACGGAATTTTCCGTGTACTGAAATACAAACCCCAGCTCCCATTGCAATCCCATTCATAATTGAAACCTATTTTAAAAAATATATGTATAAATAACAAAAGATGGTATTGAAGGAATTCTAGGAAAACTTCGAGTCTGCAAAAGAAAGTACGATAGAACTATTTGTACCATCTCGGGGAAGATGCGAGATATGTCATATGGTATACTAATTGACCAGTTGAGATGATACAAGTATTAGCACTTAGTATCCAAAAAAATATTAAACCTAGATTTTGAAGACATTATGGAAATTAATTGCATACTTGCCTGGGGTTTACTGTATGTTGCTATCAAATAGGTTAAGTTGAGGATCTTCTGAACAACTTCTTCACCATATTTCAGATTTCCTTCAAGAAAGTGACGATGCATGGCGGCTTTGTTAGGATCGGATAGTGCTAGAATAGAAATCGCCACAACTCAAATAACAGTATAAGCAGAAAAATAAAGAACACCGGGAATTAACGTGGTTCGGCAATGCCTACATCCACGGGGCAGCAATATAAATTTCTTCCACTATAACAAAATAATGGGTACAATAAGAAAGGTCTTACCAAGCCAATGCCCAGGGCTTGATGATACACACAGAGAAAGTACAATGACACCACACTATACTCTCCTGTTTTTACCTCACTCACACACTTAGAGTGGAACACAATGAACTCTCTCACTCTCACAGAATTGGAGTGGAATACTAATGGTTTTTGCAGATGGTGTTCTCTCCTTCTCTCTCGGCTTCTTCCCTCTCTCTCGGCTTCTTCCCTCTGGTGCAGCACACAAGACTCACACAACTCTCTCTGACTCTTCAACACAACACACACACCACTTTCTTCCGCATGCACACTTGCATGTCCTTTTATATTTGAGAAAGGAAAAGTTTGGAAGCTTTTAGATTTTTCTTCCAACGGATGGCAGCATCATTTGCTTGAGACACCATCATTGGCTAAAGACATCATCATATCATGTTGGCTTCATCATTGTGTTGGTTTCTCTTTTGACCACCGAAAGAATGTTTTTCCATCATGGGCTGGACCCATGGTATTATGCCAACAGTTCAGCTGGCGAGGCCTATTCAGAGTCAATGTCCTCACGAACGAAGTGTCTTGTACCAGAACCTGGTCATCAAGTTGGAAAGAAGCCATGGAAATGATCAATTTGTATAGAAATTAAATCGATAAGTGCACTAAAAGTTTGAAACCTAGGTGCAACTTTTTATTGAGAAGATGAGAGGTGGAGGAATTGGAAGGCAATCTTTTTTATAAGTACGAGTTAGGCTAGCCTTTTGGTTTCTGCACATTGCATGTCTATGTCATCTATTTTTTAACTTTTTCGAACAAAAAAAATCAACACAATATATTTTCGGGTTCCTCGAAAACAAATAAAACTATTCATACTATTTCAACTTACAACATAAATAACATAAAACTATTTGTACCGTTTTATTTTGGCATATTATTTTTAAAAAATATTGACAATTAAAATGGTGCAAATATTATGATGGAATTTGAGAATTCGACCCAAAATTAATTGACAGTGCAGATATTGTTGAATGATTGAAAATGGAAACAAAAACCTAGTAGTTAATATAACAAGTTGAAATCAACTTTGCTTTGTTTGAGCCCATGTGGTGTGGTACTAGGCTGGGGCAGCAGCAATGCATAAATTGACATGGCAGAAACAAATGTTCACACACTTGCCTTTGTTTTGTGTTCCGTCCGTAAATAAGCGGCATAGGCAGAGAAGAAACGTGAATAAAAGAAAGAAATAGCAGAACGTGGTTAAATTGTGCTCTAAACTTGAAGCACAATTTAAACGGGGTTTGGTCATAAGAGGAAAGAACTATTTGTTTTCTTTTTTATTACAAAAAGAAAAGGCTTAGAATGGACCAGGGAAACTGAGATGTTCTACATACACATCAAATTGTAATTTGTTTGCTTTTTTTTTTTTCATACGAAAGAAAAAGACTTACAATGGACCACTAATGAAGAGCCGAACTTGGGATTGGACTAATCCTCGTCCACATATAGGCAGGGATGGTCCCAAGAAGGGACTGACATGGACTATAGCCTAGGTGAGTTGTTATTTTATTATTCAAAAATTTAATTTAGCCCACTTAGGCCTACTAATGACAATTATGTCATCGCTCATCCAACAATACACTTAAGGAAAAGAAGATAAGACAAACTAATGAATTGATGAACTCTCCTAGACATTCTTGTGTAGGACATCTCTGTAAAGTTCTCTCTAAAATGAAAAATATTTCTGTCTTTTAGCCTACTACCAACTTCTTTTTATTTATATTTATATTTATTTTATTTTTTGATGATTAATTAATGTAACGGAAATAAAATCGAGAAGTGCTCTGAGAGTTTGAAACCTAGGTTAGAAAAGATGATTGGTGGAGGAGGAATTTGATGGCTAGCCTTTTAGTTTATGCATATACAATAATACATTGGGTGCCCATAAAACGAAAAAAAACTAAGCTTATTTATAGTGGTACGTCTAAAATTATGGTTAAATTCCACATTACTCCTTGGAAGTCAAAATGCCTTAGTTTTATTAGGAGTGGAACAATTTATTATATGAGACTTTCTATTTTATTAAGTTTCCGATGTGGGACTCTGTGTATTATTCAACACTCCTCACGTGGGACCACTTAGTAAGTTGCTGACTGATCTCTTTGAAATTTGACAACGTTTACAACGTGTACATGACTTGGTGCGCATAGTACTTGAGGCTAGTGGCCTTCTGGCGGTCTTTCACACATTTATCTATCACTCTATTGGCTATTTAACATCCTACTTAATAGAACAACGTTATCGGCCTCACTTCAAAATTGATGGTAGCTCAGGTGGGGTGTTCTCTCGGTTAGACCACATATCATATCATCACAAACCACAAGTATTGCTCTTCACTTTGATTTGCTGTTCCAACCACTGTCTTTTGTAGAGTTCTAGATTACCATTCATTCGTGTGGCCATTGTTTAGGCAACATGCATGGATCTTACAAGGTTCTTTTCTAGCCGACATCTTCTCCACAATTAAGGCCCACATCTCACAATTTTGAAAAATATATATATCTTCTTTTGGTATATCTAAGTTGCTTGATACGTACACTTATAGCTGCTCCGGTATTTGTTCAGGGATCATGAATACGAAGGGAATAGGCTCTCACTTTTGGTTTCCAGTGGCAACAAACAATGGTTATCATTTTCATCATGCGCTCTATTAATTCATAGATCTTCAACATTGGTGGCAATTTCCGATACGACCCGTTACACGACTCGAAACCCACACGGTAAAAACACGACATGAACTCGCACGATTAAAAAACGGGTCATTTTTGAGTCAACCCGCTGCTGACTAGTTTATAAACAGGTGGGTTTCGAGTCAACTGTTGTGTGGATTTCAGCTGCACCAAAATGGATTCAGTTGCATCCTCAACTTGTGATACTCGCAAGTGCACGAGCCGTTTGGTAGTATAG